GGATAATTTTATTAAAATAAAAAAAGGTGATGAATATTTAAATGAATAGTGATTGGAGAGTTTCGTATGAAACTTCCATAGTTAGTACCCAAAATTGACCACCCCTCTTTCACTTTTTGAACTCTAATTTCAATTATTTGAAAATTCAAAAAGTCAATTAAAATAATAATAATAATAACAACTGAAGTATTTAATTTTTAAATTTTTTTTTAATCGTTATAATTTTTTAAAGGTAAAAAAAGTAATAAGTAGAAATGTCCGTTTTACTTGCAGGTCCGAGATGAAGGGAGAAAAATTCCCCGTTGAGATGGAGAATGGAAAGGAAGTGGGGAACATTTTTTTCGTTAGATAAATGGGCCCGAGAACGAGATTATACGTCCTTATCCCCACTTTCATCCCATTATATATAAATATATTTGTGACAGATAATATAGTATAATATAATATATATTAAATGTTAATATTTATCTGTGGTTTTAACTGGTATAGACTATTGTTATAATATTAAATTATGTTGGTACAACGTTAGCGGATTGCATATGAAATATATTAATTTATTATGATTTTTTTTTTTTACCGTTTTTAAATAAAGATGATATTTAAAAATGAAAATTTTAATATAACTATTTTTTTAAAAGAATAATAAACCGAAAAAATTACCGGTGGATAACCCAATCACTGCAAATTTGCTAGATAGAATTCCTATACCAATCCCCACAAAATAAATGAAAAATTTAGCGGGCATGGAGAATACTTCCCCGTTCCTGTCTCACTCAGTAGACATCTCTAGTAATTACAAATTGTCTCGAAATTTTCTCACTTTATCGATAATAGGTGTTTCCACTATAAACGTAGATTATTTTCACCCTTTCAAGACACTAACTTGTTCTCGTAATAGTGACGTTTTTTCATGATCAGAGGTTTGCGATCTCACGTTCCACTTCATGTTTTTTTAGTACAACGAATGGAGGTAACTAATTTGAATTTCCGACCTTAAGGGAGGTAATACATGTTAGTTATTGTTAATCTACGTTTATTTTAGTCACGTTTGATCTTGACGTTTAAAAGATAAGATAATTAACCCTATTTTTTACACTAAAATAAGTTTAATTACTGAACTGTAAAATTTTATATACCATCATTTATTTGATTAAAAATATACAATCATTTATTTGATTAATAATAAAGGTTGGCTTCTTGTGCACGTGTGAATCGGGATCTCTCATAATAATAATAATAATAATAATAATAAAATAACTTTAATATTCATGGTCAATGTCATGTTTTATAAGTATATATATTTTTTTATTTTTTTATTTTTAAGAAAGTTATTTAAAAATAAATACTAAAAATTAATTAAATATTATATTATCGATCAAAAAGTTTGAACGTTGAAGACCCAATATTTATGACAGTTATTTTATATAAAAAAAAAATTTAAAGATGAATTTTAATTTGATTTATAAATTTAAAATTTAATTTTTCATGTTAAAAAAATGATAATTTTTAAAATTTGAAAAAGTAATAATAATAATTTTTTTAATACTATTTCTTAGATAATTCAAGTATTTGTTTGGCATGCAAATAAAAAATTTGTGTCTTATTTTTAAAATTTTGATAAAATTTTTAAAAAATAGATTCACATGAAAAAAAATAGAATTTAAAACATTTAAAACGTAACATGATATAATAGTGGAAAATAATAATTATACAAAATTTATACCATAATACACTTCCATAAATTTAATTAATAACAGTTAGAAATTCACTATTTATATATAATTTCTTAAATTATTTATTACTATATTACTGGACTCCATTCGTTTTAAATTTTTATTTTCAAATCACTATCGAAAAATGCAAAGGACAATAAGTTGACATCGACCGTCAAAATCAAATGAAGGTCGAAGTAGAAAGGACCATAAAATCCTATTTCAGACGTCGAAATCAAATAATACTAAATGTAGAGTGTCACAGTCGCACTCTTGTGACAGCGAAACAACGATTCTGCGACACTTGCTCTAAAAAAGCGAACAAATCGGTCGTGAGAAATTTATACTTCGCGGACAATGTCAATGTATGTTCGAGCCTCGAGTCACACTTGAGAGAAATGTTTTGAAAAACGTGAGCGAGAAAATATGTTGAAAACAATTTGAAAGAAAGGAATGTTATAAGCAAAAGGCAAGTAGGCACCAATAATGATTTTGATAGCATATAACCCGAGTAGGAAGGAGTGACAACTAGTCATATCCTCCTATCGTACATTTTAGCCCGAGTGGATGTAGATATGATTTTGGTGATCGACCATACATATTCATATTAACATAATGTGAAATAGTAAAAGATTATCTAAGACGAAAGCATGTAAAAGGGGTTCGGAATGAGTATGTGGCCATAGACAACACGTCTGGGATAAGTATGACTGGGACATCTGACATATAGCCATAGATAACAGATGCAGGTGTGCGGTTTAGGTGAGTTATGTTCATATTAGTTAAATGTTCGTAAAATAATTATTTTTTATTTTTGAAAAAAAAAAAAAAAAAGATGAATCCCCTTTGGTTGCGAGTGGGTGCATTTAGTCAAGACTCCAGTATTTGACTATTGACCCAGCCCTCAGTTTCCGTTAAATTACAATTGGCCCCCAAACAAAATTAAAGTTTAAAAAAAATCAACGGTCAACGTTTTGACCGACATTTCCCGTTACCGGTTTTCCATTAGCATGCAGCCAAACAAGACCTTATTATTTTTATTATATTTTTTTAATCAACGCGTTCGGGTGGACCCCACAGCCACTCTCGTTACACATCGGACGATAAGTATAAAATAAGTATAAAATAAAGTTTATTATTATTTTTACTTCATATTAATATATTATTATTATTATTATTCGTTAAAATCTAACTTCACACGTGCCAAATTAAGTACGTCAAAAATATGAGTAGGAGAGAGAAACTAGAGAGAGAAAGTGTTTTATATAAACCCAATCGCCAAATTCATTTCCATACAAATCCAAGAGAGAAAAACTAGAGTGAGAAAGAGAGATTGGATTTTTTTGACTGTGAACAAAAAAATGGCCGGAATTTCGAGCATCGGAGTGTTGCCGGAGGACTGTGTTTCGGCGATTCTGTCACTCACGACTCCCACCGACGCCGGGAAATTGTCCCTCGTCTCGTCGACATTCCGATCAGCGGCGGAATCCGACGTCGTTTGGAGCAGATTTTTGCCTAAAAACTACGCCGAAATCGTGGCCGCCTCTGATATCTCCGGCGAATCGCCACTCTGTTCGAAGAGAGAAGCTTTCTTCCGACTCTGTTCTCCGATCCTAATCGAAGGCGGAAAAAAGGTAAAGAAACAAAATAATTTCATTTCGTAACTAATCCGAAATAAAATAATAATTCGAATAATCAAATGGTGTCGCAGAGCTTTGAGTTGGAGAGATTTTCCGGGAAGATCTGTTATACATTGTCAGCAAGAGAGCTGGCGATCACTTGGAGCTCCGATCCACTCTGTTGGAGCTGGAAATCCGATCCTCAATCAAGGTATTATTCATAATTAATTTCAATGGGTCGCCTCCAAATTTTCCATAAAATTACAGCATAATGATTAAAAACAAAAACCATTTTCCAGATTCGCAGAAGTTGCAGAGCTCAGAGCATCGAGCTGGGTGGAAATCCATGGAAGAACAAGAACAGGACGGCTGTCTCCGAACACATTGTACGGAGCTTATCTTGTGGTGAAGACTTCAGAGAAAGGGTATGGGTTGGATTTGATGCCAGCCCAAGTTTGTGTTCAATTGGGGGATGCGTTGCAGAGCTCCCAAGGCTCTGTTTGGCTGCGCCGCAAGGAACAGAGCAACCTCAAAATGGAGTCTCTGTTTTATGGGAATCGGAGGGAGAGAGCCATAAAGCTATTCGCTGCCGATTTGGGAGACAATTTTGATAGCAACGGAATTAGGGATGTCCGACAGAGAGAAGATGGGTGGTCGGAGATTGAATTGGGAGAGTTCTTCACCGGAGAAGACGATGAACACCTCACCATGAGCTTCTTGGAGACCAAAGGCTTTCAGCTCAAATCCGGACTTGTTGTTCAAGCCATTCAAATCCGGCCTAAACATTAACCAACACATCAATCCGAGCATACCGTTCCTGGATCGATACGACACTAGTTAATTGATTCTTTTGTTCGTTACGAATTCACGATGTCTTACGTGAGACAGCTAACGTCTTAATCAACTTGAATTCTATCTGAAATCCACGTATCTTCATTTATTTAATGATCGTGTAATGTAAAAAATATACGTTATATGTATAAAATAATTGTGTTGAGTCAACTTACTTGGATGGATGATGAAAGTATCGGGAAAGTCTCGGGAGAGAGATGAAATAGATAGTTTATTAAGTCAATCATTTAAAATAATTAATTAAATTAAGTTGAGGTGGTTGAGACAACAACTGTATTGTATATACAAATTAAATTTTGGTAGACTAGCTTATATTGAACCTAATATGGTATGTTCGTGTGAATATGATCTCCACTATACATAACTATATAGTTTTAGTACATGAAAGTGGACAAATTTTTTAGTCGATCAATAAGCATGCGTTGCACGTTGAAGGTGAAAAGACCATTATCTCAATAATAATAGGTGAAGCTAGTATTTACCGTTGTAATAGCTCAACCCCACCGCTAATAGAAATTATTTGCTTTTGTTTGTTATGTATCGCCGTAACAATCCAAACCTACTGTCAGTAGATATTGTCCGTCTTGGCCAATTACGTATCGCTGTAAGAGTCAAAGTCCACCGTTAGTAGATATTGTCAGCTTTAACCCGTTAAGTACTACCATCAGCCTCACAATTTTAAAGCACGTCTACTAAAGAGAGATCTCACAAATTCAAAGTCTTTTGTATCAGTGTCTATGACTCTAGTACCATTTGTAGCAGATGTTGTCTCTTTCGCTTTCACTTACGATCTTCACTCGTTTTGGCGCCTTATCTTCATCATCTGAAAAATGGACGGTGCAGAGCCATCGTCTCCAAATTCTCACAACTACTCCCCTGCCGAGCACAATCTTCTTCAACTTCATCGCGTTCTTCACCAATGGCTGCAATTTCCAGTCTCAAACCCTCCATCTCCATGTCTCGTTCGTTTCACATATCTTTCACCGCGCCTTCTTTACCAAATTCAATTAAACCCCTCGAAAATCTCCACTCTCCGAGCTCGTTTCCAATGAGAATCAAGCTCAATCACGTTCCTCCATTATCATTATCTAGAAGATTGTTCGTTCCTTCCGTCTCTGGAATTTGGGACGCCCTAACAGGGGGAAACAACCCTCGCGACGCTGTTACTGCTATTCGACGCGGAATGCTTCTCTTCAGAGAGGTAGATTTCTCTTTCAACTCACGTAATAATGCTTCGTTTATCAGAATTTTCGATTTGAATACGTGTAAATTTTGTTGGTTTTAAGGGCGATGTTTCAGGATCTTTAGCAGAATTCGACAAGGCAATTGAATTGGATCCTCGTCAAAAGGCATGTAGGTTCCTGCACCTCGCAGCGATGTTAGTAGTTTAGTTTGAAAATTCAAATTGATTTTGTGAGATTAACTATCAACCAGTTTGTTTATAAATTAAGTTCTGAATGGTAACGAATAGAGATATCTTGCTTTAGAGATAATTGGATGATGAGGAGTTAGGGTTAGGGATTCATTCTTAATTCTTAGCAGTGCATTGTTTAACTAATATGGATTTTCTTTATGGTTGCTATCAGATCTTTGGCAAAGAGGGCTTTCACTTTACTATCTTGATAGGTACTGATCTGCCCCAATTTTCCTTTTATGCTACATTTATGATAGGAAGAAATGCAGAAGTTTTTGAGTCAAACTAGAATCTGCTGAGTTATGCATTGGTATGAATGAATGCATGTAAATTTGGATGAATATGAATAGTTGAAGTAGGAATTCCATTTTTAGATTTGAAGAGGGAGCCGAGCAGTTCCGACTAGACGTTGCACAAAATCCGAACGACACAGAGGAATCTATTTGGTGCTTTGTTTGTGAGGCTCAATTGTATGGAGTTGATGAAGCAAGAAGGCGATTTCTTGAGGTAAGCTAATATTTATGAGATTATAAAAGCAGGGATGAAATATTGCTATATGATTATAAGAGTAACTTAGTGAGTTTGAGATGAATTATGAGAGTTCGTGTTCTTGAGTTAAGCACCTCTTTCATAATCATTATAGCAAACTCATCCTAAATCATGTTTGGAAGTTTGAATCATGGATTTAGGTAGGTAGAGATCCACGATCAGTCATGAGGGAAGCTTATAATATGTTTAAAGATGGTGGCCATCCTGAGAATGTATGAAACTTTTCTCTATTTTCCTCTATCTTCAATTCTTCTTTTCAGTCATTTGATCATTACAACTTCCATGTTCAATTGGGGTTTCTGGTTTTTTCAAATGTATGCTTCTTTTTTTAAATGATTTTCGATATTGTTGACAAACCCTCTCTTAATTTGTAACAGCTCAAGCCCAACGCTAGCAGATATTATCCTCTTTGGGTTTTCCCTTTCGGGGTTCCCCTCAAGGTTTTTACACCGGGCTGTGCGTGGGCTTAGGGAGTGGATTGTGAGATCCCACATCGATTGGAGAGAGGAACGAGTGTCAGTGAGGACGCTAGACCTCGAAGGGGGTGGATTGTGAGATCTCACGTCGGTTAGAGAGGTGAATGAAGCACCCTATTGTAAGGGTGTGGAAATCTCCCCCTACAGACATGTTTTAAAAACTTTGAGAGGAAGTTCGAAAGGGAAAGCCCAAAGATGACAATATCTACTAGTAGTGGGCTTTGGCCGTTACATAATTACCTTTTCAATGCACCATTTTGTTACCTGTGTTGTTTAAGTTTCTAGCTTATGATCTGACTGAAGAGTTGTTTTTATTCCATAGCTTGTTGCTGCCTTCTCAAGTGGCCGTGAGAATGAATACTTTTATGCTTCTCTATATGCTGGGCTTTATCACGAAGCAGAGGTTTGGTTAAAAGACTTCCAACTTTTTTTTTTACCTTTTTGCTAACTATCCCTGCAACCTATTGTTTATTAGTCTCTGAAAAGTCAATAATACCCTGAATCTTTATATTCTTGTCTTTTTTCCTTGTCCACAACTATACTACTCAGGCCTTTCTTTGATAGCTACAGAACTAGGATGAAGCATTTTGTTTCTATTTTTGATAGCCGGGATGTTGGACCCCATTTTTGGACTGTGTTTATGGTCTATCTCAGCTTATCTCACTAGTTTTAAGAGAAGCTTTGTGAGATCCCGCATCGGTTGGGGAGGGGAATGAAGCATTCCTTATAAGGATGTGGAAATCTCTATCTAGTAGACGTGTTTTTTAAAATCGTGAGGCTAACGGCAATATGTAATGGGCCAAAGCAGATAATATCTACTAGTGGGGGCTTGGGCTATTACAAATGGTATCAGAGTCAGACACTGAGCGGTATGCAATGAGGACGTTGGGCCCCTAAGGGGGTGGATTGTGAGATCCCATGTCGGTTGGAAAGGGGAATGAAACATTTCTTACAAAGGTGTAGAAACCTCTCCCCAGTAGACACATTTTAAAACTGTGAGACTGACGACAGTACGTTACGGGGTCAAAACGGACAATATCTACTAGCGGTGAACTTGGATTGGCCACCAAGCATTTTAAGTTATTAAATTGGAACTCAGAACTTTAAAAGATATCTCCAAACATATCTCTACACTAGTAGAAATTCAACTTTTAAACTGCCACGGTTGCAATTTCTCATCAAACAAAAGGTCTATTTTTAGAACTAGTTTGATACCCATTTTGCTACATTAAACTCAATCAAGAAAGCACACTCATCCATCCCTATGAGGAGATGAGATGAGATGACACAAACATAATACGTGATCCCGTGTAGTTAATATGAGTATAACTCAGCGGTAATTAACATATATTCCTTTCCTAGAGGTCGGAGGTTTAAATTTTCACATTCTTGTAGTATTTTTATCGTGCAAGAGCTGGAAATATTTTTTGTGGGATTATATTTTCATTTGTGCAGAAAAAATTGGATGCTGCCAAACAGCATATAGTTGCAGCTTGCCAGTCTCCATATGGACAGAGGTTTGAATCCACCATACATAGTTCCTTTGAGTGCAACCAATCATTAACTTCAATTGATTGGCAATGCCTCTCCTCTTTTTAGGTCTGATGATTACATGGCCGCTCTTGCCAAAGTTCACTGCCTCTGTCGAAACTGGAGTTGAAGTTAGTACAATTTTCAGCTAATTGCTTTGATGCCATATTCTACAATTTCTCTCTTTTCCTTCCCGTGTTCACTCTAGCGTTTTAGATCGGAATTCAAATTCTAACGATATCATATGAGGATGCCTGAACCAAATTGGTTCGGATCGTAATCTATCCATTTCAAGTGGGTTGAAAAAAAAAAGAAGGTGCATTTTGGTCTTTTTTTCGTTGAATCCAACATGGGAGTGGAGAGGATTCAAGCCTCGGGTCTCTTAGTCAGATTATATATTTTAACTTGTTAATTTATGTTCGAATTGACTCTAACTTGTTGTGAGAGTGAGTAAGATTCAAGTCCTCGATCTCTTAGTCAAGAATATATGCCATAATTAGTTAACTTATATTCGAGCCGGCTGTTTTTTGTTGTGAAAGTGTGAAAGATTCAAGTCTCAAATTTCTTAGCCAAGTATATATGTCTTAGCTAATTGATCTATGCTTGAGTTGACTCTATTTGGTTGTAGGAGTGTGAAAAATTCAAATCTCAGATCTCTTACCAAAGAATATATATCTTAATTAGTTAACCTATGCTCGAGTAGGTTCTATTAGTTGTGGGAGTGTGAAGAATATATGTCTTAACTAGCTGACCTACGTTCGAGTCGGTTCTATTTAGTTGTAGGAGTGTGAAAAATTCAAATTTTTAGCTAATTGATTTACGCTTGAGTGGGCTTTATTGGGTTGTTCGAGTGTTAATATATATATATTTTTTATTTATTACATGAAGTCCTTTTCACATTATAATTGCCCCAATTGGAACCAAACATACATCCATTTGGCATATTCTTGGTAGGTAGCACAAAAGGTTGGATATTCTTTGAGTTATTCCCCCTGGCTAATCAGGGCACCACTCTGTCACTTGTGGGCTTGTGAAGTTACCATTTTGCCCTCCACCAATCTTCATTTGCAACTCAAAAAGAAATAATAATAATAATAATAATCCATATTTATGAGTTTTTATTTTTATTTTTTTTGTTAAGTTAAATCATGAACTAATTAAATGAAATTAATAGTTTTGTACACTCAAAAATAAAAAATGCAGTTATACTAAAATTAATTATTTTAAAGCATAAAATTAAATAAAAACACTTGAAAAAGATAATAAAATATAATTATTTTTTAATAATACACATTAAATTTTTTTTAATCTATCTATAAATATTTTAAATTACAATATTTTTTTCTCATTATCGTATAAGCATATTAGAATTTTGGATATAAATTCAAACTTCGAATGTGTGGTAGTGACTTGAAGTTGTTTGGCGTTATACACGTCTCGGTTTCATTTTGGGTCATTATTATTATACTATTCGAGATTCCGATTTTCGTCTAACATTTTAATGAAATTTTAGCCCGAGCGTTAGGATAATTTTGAAATATTACAAAGGGTCCCGAGTAATATCGTAATATATACTTATTTATTTCATTTATTTTTGTTGAAATTTAGCATATATAAACACACACAATTCGAAGGGTAATTTAGTCATTTTACATTTTGGCGTAGAAATTTTTTTCCCCTTGAACACTACCTATACGTTATAAATAACTAACTTTGTGTGGTTTTTATGTTTCAAGTTACCTCCAAAAAGAAAACCATACGACGAACTGCTCATCTTCCAATTTCAAAATTCACTTCAGTCAATTCGTTGCAAGAATTTCACTTCTGGCGACGTTTTCCTTCATGAACTCTCTGTAATTCACTTCGTTGATTTGATATGTCGACGGAGAGATTGATTTCCAGTGGTACAACTCCGTCGGAAGCAGAGGCGCCGAGGTTGGCTTCATCGTCGCATTCGTTCCGGCAATGTGGAGAACCAGCTAGGGTTTTTGAGGAGCTGCCGATTGCTTCCATTGTATCGGTTTCGCGACCGGATACTGGAGATATCAGTCCCTTGCTGTTGTCTTACACCATTGAAATTCAATACAAACAGGTATTGAATTTATCTGTTTATCTTTCTCAGCAGTCCTGTTTGCTTTTTTTTTTTTGCGGTGTATTCAGACGATTTTGGGCGAAGATGTGGAAGATTGATTTGTTAGATGTTTTTGTTTGTTAATGTGAAATTTTAACGCGCTCAACTGTGAAACAGAACATGGAAAGAAAATTTGATGAGTACCTGTTTATGAGAAAGAGAAGAATTACTGTGTTTAAGTCTTCTATTTGAAAATTTCTGAAATGATTGGTAGAGATAGAGTAATGAACTAATATTTTATCATTTATATGTCTTAGACATTCTTGAATTTCAAAAGTGTCGGTAGGATCTTTCAATTATGTTAAATAGCTTTCAAACTTACTTGACATTAATTACAATTTACGAACTTGCACAAAATTGTGTCTAACATAATCTTGTTGAGTTGACCTTTCAATTTTGTGCTCAATAGATTTGTGAATTTTAAAAAATAGAAAAAATTTAAAGTTCTAGAAGTTGTTACACATTTTTAAAGTTGATTTGTTGACACCATTGTGAAAAAATGATGCTGACACTAAGTTCACTGTTAACAGTTTAAATGGAGCTTAGTGAAGAAAGCCTCTCAAGTTCTATATTTACATTTTGCGCTGAAGAGACGTGCATTTATTGAAGAACTTCACGAGAAACAAGAGCAGGTTTGACTTACATGGCATATTTCAAATCATCTTCTATCTATAACATTTCTGCTCCATTTGCCTTATCCAGAATGAGCCTGGTTAGTTTAGGTCCATTTTCTAATAACAATAATAATAAAAAACTGTTTTGAGGTCTTAGTTAAATTTAAAGAACAACAAAATTTTTAAAACTACCTGTTTTCGATTTTACGGATATTTAAACAGTGATTTAAAAGTAGCATACAAAATGCCAAAAATTCTCAGCAATAAGTGTGATAATAGAAGAACAAAATTAAAATTGTTATGAACAAGGGCCTGAAATGTGAAACTTGGATCCTCTTTAGTTTGTTTGTCATAAATTTTTTGTTTTGATTGGTCCTGTCATGTTTACATACAAGGTTAAAGAATGGCTTCACAACTTGGGAATAGTAGACCATACAGCTGCAGTCCATCATGATGACGAGTCTGATGATGGGTTATTTCCTTTGCATGATGAACAAACAACAAAAAATAGGTAACTAATAAAAAGGAATTATGCATTATACCAAATTAATCATTTTATCTTCTGGTGGATTGTGAGATCCCACATCGGTTGGCGAGGGAAACAAAGCATTCTTTATAAGAGTGTCGAAACTTCTCCCTAGCAAAGGCGTTTTAAAATCGTGAGGCTGACAACGATTCGTAACAGGCCAAAATGGACAATATCTGCTAGCGGTGGATTTGAACGGTTACAAATGGTATTAGAGCCAGACATTGGGCGATGTGCCAGCGAGGACGCTGGGCCCCAAGGGGGATGGATTGTAAGATCCCGCATTGGTTAGAGAAGAGAACGAAGCATTCATTATAAGGGTGTGGAAACCTTTCCCTAGTAGATGCGTCTTAAAACTTTGAGGGGAAGCCTCTAAGGGAAAGCCCAAAGATGAAAATATCTGCTAGCGGTGAGCTTGGACTGCTACATCGATATTATGCCTCTTATACTTTCTTTTGGGGTGTAAGAACTGAGAAGGGAGCTATGATGCTTTGGAAAATTGATCTTTTAAAATGTACAGGAATGTCCCTTCTGTTGCTGCTTTACCCATCATTAAGCCAGCAATGGGAGGACAGCGGTCCATTTCAGACAAGGCAAAGCTAGCAATGCAGGGTTACTTAAATCACTTCTTTGGGAACTTGGATATTGTAAATACTCGTGAGGTGAGTGTAAAGTTTTCTTGAAACATCTGCTTCTTTTAGAAAGACCAGTAACTTTGATCAAAGAAATAAATAACTTCTCTCGTTTAGTTTTGGTGTACTTTGATATCAATGAAATTTATTTCTAAACTCCTACACCTTCTCAGTTTCTCTAATTAAGTAATCTTGGAAAGCAGGTCTGCAAATTTTTAGAAGTCTCGAAGATGTCATTTGTAAGAGAACACGGTCCGAAGTTGAAAGAAGGTTACCTAATGGTGAAGCATTTGAAACAGCTAACAGGATCTGATTCTAGTATAAAATGTTTTGCATGTCATTGGTGCAGTTGCTGCGTGTACAATTGGAAAAAGGTTTGTTTACTCAACTCATGTGATGCTTTTGATCGAATTTAAATTTCATAATGACGAGTTAGTTCCTGTTACTGTTGACTGCTTTAGAAGAAAATTATTTATATTTATATTTTAGCAGTGGAATTCTTACCCTTGCTATTAATACTCCCACATTGTAACAATTATGAATTGCATAACTGCAACATGTCCTCTTCTTTTTTCAATGACCAATACGGTGGTTTTTTTGACAACCCCTGATGACAAACAGGTTTGGGCTGTTTTGAAACCAGGTTTCTTGGCCTTGGTTGCTGATCCCATGGACACTAAACTCCTAGATATAATTGTTTTTGATGTTCTACAAACATTAGAAGAAAAGGAGGGATCCCAAGCATGCTTAGCATATCATGTCAAGGAGCGCAATCCTTTACGTTATTCATTTAAGGTGCGTTTTTTCTTCTTTTTGCTCTTCTTATTTTCAATTTCAAGATTTGCAGTAACTCCACCCATCTTTTGTACTTCGTTCTGTTCTATGTAATTTCTTTACACAACTTGTATATTACCAAAACAATTTTCTGCAAGGTCAAGTTGAGCTGAAATCTTCATTTGAGGTTATGAAATTGAACTTGTCTGGGCAATGCTGGTTAAGGAATTCAGATATTTATTTCCTCGTGTTAAAATCTTCAACATTGATTTCTTTATGATTGGATATTAAGTCTCATGAACAATTAATAATTTGGGGAAGAGATTTCATGTGCCACGTTCAAATTTAATGACAATTCAGAATGTTGTGAAAAGGTTAGAGGCGGAAATGGAAATCTGAGGTTCAGAACCACAAGTACCGCCAAAGTCAAAAAATGGGTCTCAGCAATTAATGATGCTGGGTTTGGATCCAAAGATGGTTGGTGCCACCCTCATCGCTTTGGTTCTTTTGCTCCTCAGAGAGGTTTGAGTGATGATGAAAGCCAAGCTCAGTGGTTCATAGATGGCCGGGCAGCTTTTGAAGCAATCGCTTGTTCTATTGAGGCTGCAAAATCTGAGGTTCTATAGCCCAAATGAAAAACGAAACAACATGCTTGTCAAATCTCATTGTTAACTTAAGTGGTCTAACATTCTTTGCAGATATTCATCACTGGTTGGTGGCTTTGCCCTGAGCTTTATATGCGACGTCCTTTTCACAATCATTCTTCTTCACGGCTTGATGCATTGCTGGAAACAAAGGCAAAAGAAGGTGTCAAGGTGTTTAAGCAATTCCCAATATCCGTGTGAACTAACAGTTTATTTTAAAATACTGGATTTTGTTGCATTGTTAGGCATTAACTGAGTTTGAATATTTTGCTGATGTCGTAGAATGCAATAAAATTTGCTTAAAGCCTTAAACTTTTGATCGTCTCTTCATGAAGTTCTAGTACTAGAAGTTATGTATGTGCATATTACTCTAGCTATTATTTGGTTTCACTTTGAATCTTTGTGGGTCTACACAGCCTCCAATTTTTGTCTGAGTAGTTTACACACATTATTATTATTATTATGATACATTTCCTAGAACTCATCATGAATTTAATTTCACTTTGAAGCTAATGTTTTGCAGATTTACATCTTAATGTATAAAGAGGTCCCTATTGCTCTGAAAATTAACAGTAGGTATAGTAAGAAGAGGCTTCTAAATATTCATGAGAATATTAAGGTACTACGTTCTCCTGATCATATGTCAACTGGGATTTACTATTGGTAAGCATTGTGTAGATTATGTTTAAATTTGTTATATTTTACTTCTGTTTTCAAACAATTCATCACCATTCCATGGCATAATGGCAGGTCACATCATGAAAAACTTGTCATCGTTGATCACCACATTTGCTTCATTGGAGGTCTGGATTTGTGCTTTGGCCGCTATGATACAATGGAACATAAAGTGAGTGATTTCCCTCCTTATACATGGCCAGGAAAGGACTATTACAACCCCAGGTAGCTATTATTCTTCACGAATAAAATGAGAAACTTGTTGTAATCTATTTAAAATATCACCATTTTCTATTCTTGTGTTCTCAAGCATGCATATGCCTGCTTGAACAGAAGAGATATTCATGAACTTCTAAAAAAATATTCAGTTTTTTCTTCTTTGGAAGTATACTTTGTTTTTAGGGAACTTCTATAATATGTTTTACCACCTTGCTTGTGTTAGAGAATCTGAACCAAATTCTTGGGAAGACACAATGAGTGATGAATTGGAGCGGGAGAAGTGTCCTCGAATGCCATGGCATGATGTTCACTGTGCTCTTTGGGGATCTCCATGTCGTGATATTGCTCGTCACTTTGTTCAGAGGTGGAACCATGCCAAGGTCAATCTTGTAACACATACATGTGCTTTCAATTTTAATTTTTTCCTTTCTAACGTGTCAAAGCATTATTCTAGAGAGATAAAGCCCCAAATGAAGAAAAAATACCTCTATTAATGCCTCAACATGACATGGTCCTTCCACATTACATGGGAAGAAGCACGGAGTTGAGTTTCAAAAATGAAGGCTCAGAGCAAGATCATCAAAAGCAGAACACGGAAGATTTCTTTTTCTCCTCATCACCACAGGAAGATATTCCATTACTTATGCCTCAGGAAGTTGGTGGACTTCCAGATTCTAACATGGAAAGAAATAGTCAAATGAACAAGCAAATGGAGATACAAAGTAGTGCTATGGATTCTTTTCAGGCATACAATGTTGAATCATTGACCCAATATGAACAAGCAAATGGATTGTTCGATGAATTTGGATTTTTGGATGAGTTTGGTGATTTTGGTCTTTCGAGGGAAGCTACTACTGATACTCCGCCATATATGAAAACTTCAGATGATTGGTTGGAAACCGAACATGAAAGCAATCATGTTGTTGCTGTAAACGAGGTCAAAGAAATCGGTCCTCTTACGACCACCAATTGTCAGGTAACCTATACTTCTCATATTCTGTGTTAATGACAATTAAGATTCTTAAGTTTGAGGATTAAAAGACATTTTTCTTCTTGTAAACCGTAATAGACACCTTAAAATTTCACCAAGACGTGCAGATCTATCTATGAGTACAATGACGTTTACACATATTCGTCTTAATTAAGAATATTATGTATGCACTCATGGATATGTCTGCTGGTGATTTTAGGTAATAAGAAGTGTCAGCCAGTGGTCAGCAGGAACAAGCAAACCAGAAGCAAGCATCCATGCTGCTTATTGTTCTGCCATTCAAGAGGCAAAACACTTCATCTACATTGAGGTAACAAGCTTAATCGTGGGAACTTTTAGTCTTTTTTTTTTTTTTTTTTTTGGGACACTATTTAGAAGGAAAAAAATTATTCTCTTCAAAGAATCATTTACCATCACGAGAATCCTAAAAAAGAAAGAGCTAGTTATCACACCAAAGGAAACTAATCTGCTAATGTAACTAGGCCTTTGGGTTATAATGTTACGTTACGGGTAATACAATTCACATTAGGATATTTACAATTACAAAAAGGGGAAAAAATGGAGTGATAAAAGAAGCAAAATATTGGCTGCATGTAATAGTGGAACAGAATGAGTGCACGGTTTGCACTTGCTTCTCTACCTGTTATTTAGCCAATCAGGAATCAATTTCTTTCTTATTCTCTCTTATTCTTGAACAGTACTCACTTATTCTTTATTCTTGAACAGTACCGTACACAGTTCATAGCAGTGCCCACTATCAGTAGATATTGCCCTTTTTTGACTTTTCCTTTTGAACTTTCCCTCAAGGTTTTTAAAACATGTCTGCTAGGGAGAGGTTTCTACACCCTTATAAAGAATGTTTCGTTCTCCTCCCCAACCGATGTGGGATCTCACAATCCACTCCCTTTCGGGCCCAGTGTCCTTGCTGGCACACCACCTCGTGCCCACCCCCCTTCATAGCTCAGCCTCATCGCTGGCACATCGCCCGGTGTCTGGCTCTAATACCATTTGTAACAGCCCAAGCCCATTGTTAAGTGGATATTGTTGTCTTTGGGTTTTTCCTTTCGGGCTTCTCCTGAGAATTTTTTAAAATGCGCCTGCTAAGGAGAGGTTTGCACACTCTTATAAATAATGCTTCGTTCTCCTTCCCAACCGATGTGGGATCGAGCTACAATTTTTTTTACTGATGGGGTTTTTTACTTTGATGAATGAGCTCAACAAAGATAAATAACTAATCGTCATTTCTGTCAATGTGTCATTAAATGAGATGATGAATGAGTTTTACCCTCTTGTTTTACTTCCAGAACCAGTTTTTCATATCAGGTTTATCAGGGGATGAGACCATCCACAATCGGGTTCTGGAAGCACTATACCAACGTATATGGCTGGCTCACAAAGAAAAACAATGTTTTAGAGTTATTATTGTTTTACCACTCTTACCCGGATTTCAGGTACATATTTGTATATTTCCTTTTTAAAAAAAATCTAAATTTCTTTCTCTTTCTACTGCCTTTTATATGCATTCATGGACTCTATGCTCCCTGTCCCTTTTGCATCCATCAGGGTGGTGTAGATGATAATGGCGCAGCAACTGTTCGAGCCTTGATGCATTGGCAGTATCGAACAATTAGTTGGGAAAAAACTTCGATATTGTACCGTCTCAATCTTCTCCTGGGTTCTAAAACACAGGATTATATCTTGTTTTGTGGCCTCCGATCATATGGCAGACTTTTTGATGGTGGTCCAATTGCCACTAGTCAGGTACTTTTTGCTTCCCCAAAATATGCAGATGGTTTGTCTTTGTTTATTTATTTCATAACTTTTATTATTCGTTATTGGTTACCCTCATCGATCCGGATTTATCTATATGGATATATAGTCTGTATTGTGAGATCCCACGTAGGTTGGAGAGTGGAACGAAACATTTTTTATAAAGGTGTGGAAACCTCTCCTTAGCAAACGCGTTTTAAAACTTTGAGGGGAAGCTCAGAAGAGAAAGTTCAAAGTGGACTTGGGCTGTTACATATGGTGGGAAAAAGCGAAAAAAGTTGCATAAATAGCTGTGGAATTTGTTCCACTGCTACAATAAACCAAAACAAAATGTTTCAATAATATCAAAAGTTAAGTTGTTTAAAAACGCTATCAATTTGACCTTGTAATGAACTACCTGATTTTCATTTTTCAGGTGTATGTGCACAGCAAATTGATGATAATCGATGACTGCATTACCTTTATTGGTTCCTCCAACATAAACGATAGAAGTTTACTTGGATCCAGAGATTCTGAGGTATATCATTCTTAGCTACTTTAGAGTATATTGCTCGTCTATCTACTCGTTCTTATCACCATATTTCCACTGCAGATTGGGGTGATTATCGAGGATAAAGAGTTTGTTGATTCATATATGAATGGAAAGCCATGGAAGGCTGGAAAATTCGCTCATAGTCTACGTTGCTCCTTGTGGTGTGAGCACCTTGGTCTTCATCTCGGAGAGGTTTATCTAATTAGTATATATATTAGCATTTGTCTCAGAAACTTCCAATCATTACAAATATCTTCCATTTTACTTGAAGACCATACAAATTCAACTTATATTATATGCCTTAATCACTTCAGGTCAGTCAAATCCTTGATCCTATAGTAGAAGCAACATACAAAGATTTATGGATAGCTACGGCAAAGGTGAGAATAACTAGTTTTGTATAATAATAGATATCATCAACATTCTCGTTTTTCTAATTGTTTTTGTTCTGTCTTCTTTCATAAAAAAAGAACATAAAAATGTATGATAATCATTTATTTATTATGTGTTTTTAAAATTTTCTTCATAATTTGAAAAACGGTTCTGAAAAATGAAAAATGAGAATTTGAAACCGTTACTAAATGCTGTTGGATGATGAAAGTCCCACGTCGACTAATTTAGGGAATGACCATGAGTTTATAATTAAAGAATACTCTCTCCATTGGTACAATGTCTTTTGGGAAAACCCAAAACAAACCCACGAGAGCTTATGCTCAAAGTGGACAATATCATACTATTGTGAAGAGTTGAGTTCGTTTAACAAATGTTTCTATTTTCCTAAACAAAAAACAAGGAAACGAGAAATAATAACCTTATGATGTCTCCAATACTATGATATTGAAAATTTGCTATGAATTTAATGCAGGAAAACACAGCAATATATGAAGACGTCTTTTCTTGCATCCCCAACGACAACATAAACTCAAGGTAACCAAACAACTACGTATCATCATCGTCTTTAACATTTTTAGATAAAAGTTTTTTTATCTTTTTTGTTCATAATGTATTCTGCCAAATTCAGATCATCTTTACGCCAAAGTTTGGCCGATTTGAAGTGCAAACTTGATCATAACACACTAGATTTAGGAATAGCTGCTGAGGAGATAGAAAACCATGAAAATGGGGAAGTAAAGATGATAGATCCAATGGAGAAACTGAAGTGTATAAGAGGACATCTTGTCTGTTTTCCATTGAAGTTCTTGTGGCAAGAAGATCTCAGACCAGGCTTCATTGAGAGTGAGTTTTATGCTGCCCCTCAAGTTTTTCATTGATATATATATGTATATGTATGTATACTATTCATGCATGATCACAAGATCACAAAGTTGAAGATCGAACCATCGACTTTTAGAATGATAATCTGTGGGTAAATAATATGTACATAACCATTCTTTTTCCATCATAGTATTTTCTTCTTTTTTTTTCACTTTGGAATTAAATTTGTTGGTGATCTTTTGTAGCATATCCAAAATTGGTTGAAATATGCAATGAATTCCGTCATATGTATGTATATATTAAGCATGCTCTATTTCTATTTTGTAAAGAAAAAAATTCGCAAGGCTGTACAGCTTTTTATTAATTTATTAAAAAAAAAAAAAAACTAAAACTAAAACTAAAACTAAATAGTTGAGGCTATGCTAGGCGAACATTTTGATTGGTACAAAAAGGACTATTTAAAGTACGAGATTTAGAAACGGGAACTAGCAATGGCTGCATATTCAATCGAGCACATGTGATTGAATCACTTATACTTAAGCTCGAGAAAGATTCTTTATACTATACGTGCCTACTTCAACTTCACCTATCGCTTGTGTCGCGTAGTGTAGCAAGACTACAAGTCAAGTCTCACTAAGGAAGATTTTGGGCCCCAACAACAAAGGAACGAACATTTTTTGGGACATGTCCACTTTCCATTACTCGACGAGGGAAATTCCTCGCACATAATTAAGGGAGCCATTGAAAGGTGCTAAAACATGAGAAACGGTGACTACCCGAGCTAACGATAGAATCAGAACACTTTTCGCCCAAGTCCGTTCCAAAGTGGTTTTATAACAAATTTGAGCATATCTTAAGCCATAATTGGCCTCGTAATAATTTGGTTAAGGTGAAAAGATCAATGTTAATTACATTTGATTCACAACCATTTTCAATAAGAAAAATTGGGCGCGAATTCATAATTTGTGGTCATTTTGGGAGGCGCGAATCAGGTAAATAAGCGTGCTCTCTCGTTTGAAATTTCTGGGCTCCACTTCTTTGAGCAATTCGCTTCTGCAATTATGGCGCTCGACATTCTCGCTTTTTTCATCTTTTTTTTCGCATTTCAATCCATTGTCCAGCTCATGATTCATCGCTAGAATTCATGTATTATCTTGTCTGGAATCCTTAGGGTTTTCACTTTTTGTTTCGATGCTGAGAAACAGATAAAGGAGCTGTGGCGTAGTCATTGATCTCTTGAAACTTTCATTCTAGTCCAAATGTAGTTCGAAGAATTTGTTTCCTTACTGGAATGACATGAAATGGACTTGTAATTTTGGAATTTCGACAATGGCTGCTTGATTGAACGACTTTCTGACTGTTTATAGTAGGCGTTCATAGATCATAATTCAATTTAGAGTCAGGGGTTGGATTCAAAAGCATTGAATTAAGAACGGTGAGATCTCACCTCGGTTGGAGAGAGGAACGAAGCATTCCTTATAAGGGTGTGGAAACCTCTCCCTAGTAGACGCGTATTAAAACCGTGAGGCTAGCAGCGATACGTAACGGGCTAAAGCGGACAATATCTGCTAGCGGTGGGATTGAGCTATTATAAATGATATCAGAGCTAGAGCGGTGTGCTAGCGAGGACACTGGACCCCTGGCGATATGTGACATGTTATAGTATGAATTCTTGAATTTGGAGGACTAGTTTAATAGTTACTCTCATTTTATCTTCATTCTAAAGAGGTTATTGATTATTTACTGAGATTTACATATCTTTCATATGGGATTTGACTTGCAGTAGAGATCAGAGTGCTTCTTGTAAGCAAGAGGATTGAACTGGATGGCTTCGGCTGCAACAAAATCAGGATTGAACTGGATGAAGCCATCTTCTAAGTTCTTCAAGGATGGGGCTTCACTTAAGTGTTACTGGAAAGTAAAATTTAGGTAATGCTTTCGACAACTTTTTATATGGGCCCAAAAATTTGGGCTAAAACTGATAGTGTCTTAGACTTGATTGGTGCATTGATTCTTCTGGTAGATCTTGCTTGAATTTATCATCTATAACTGTTTGTTTTAAATTTGGGCTGCCTTTATTTCCTTATCAATGCAATGATCCACTTGCATTTTCGTCTGGTATGCCTTTCTCAGAAACTAGATATTTAAAATCCATAGCTAAGGCACGGCCTACCACTTAATTGAAAATGGGATCAACTTTGAAATGTAATTCGACGGTGCTAACATCATATAATTCTCTCTCTTACTCGATGTGAGAACAGATTATCTGTTGATGAATTGAAGTTAATCTTAATGTTCAAATAGTTCTTGATGTGTGAAGTCCCACGTCGGTTAAGGAGGAGAACGAAACATTCTTTATAAGGGTGTGGAAACCTCTCCTTAGTAGATGTGTTTTAAAAACCTTGACGGGAAGCCGAAAAGGGATCAACTTTGAAGCGTAATTTGATGGTGCAACATCATATAATTCTCCTCTTACTCGATGTGAGAATAGATTATGTGAGATCCCACGTCGGTTGGAGAGGAGAACGAAACATTCTTTATAAGGGTGTGGAAACCTCTCCCTAGCAAACACGTTTTAAAAACCTTGAGGGGAAGCCTGAAAAGGAAAGCCCAAAGAAGATAATATCTGCTAGGTGTGGACTTTCGCCGTTGCAGAGCTTTTAGTAATTGAAGTTACTAGTTCTTGATGTATTGTTTTGATTTACTGTCAAGGGGTAGATGACTGAAATACTTTTGAATCTTTGAACTGTTTCCTTTCCCTCAACTTTTTCCGTGACAATGAAAATAATTATCATCTGTTCTTCAAGACAGAGTAGTGGAGTATTCTGTAGAGACAGCCATGGCCGTAATTGTCGATGGAAATATTAGCTTGATGATCTGATAGAATTTAGCATTCGCATTGGCTCCATATATCAATTTATTGGTGAACTACTTGTTGGGTCTTGATAATGAGGTGAATTGCCATTGAATTAGGACCGCCTTTCTCTTTCTCTGTCTTGCATTCACACACAAGAGTCTTAAATGGTGCTTGTATCTTCAGGCAACTCTGCAGGCACGTGTTGGCTGGAATGTTGATGGCATTGACCTCATCAGTCCTTGCAGCTGTTAAGACAATTTCAGTTTGATCACTTGAAGAAGAGGACAAATTAGTTCACTTTTCGCTTTGAGGTGAGTCTCTCATGCCTTTCACCGACTAAGGTAATCCAGCTAATTATTGTCTTTGAAATGTCAAAAGTAGAAACGACTGTTTACTTTTTTTATTTTGCATGCTTTAAACAAGATCTCGGTAGGTGAACTACTTTTTCACTAATATCATGTGTTGAATAAATATTTTGCTGTCGGAACTAGAGCTTTTGTACATATTAAATAATATGTGAGATCTTACGTCAGTTGGAGAGGGAAACGAAATATTTTTTATAAGAGTGTGGAAATCTCTCCCTAGCAAACACGTTTTAAAACCTTGAGGGGAAGCTTGGAAGAGAAAGCCCACAGAGAACAATATCTGTTAAGCAGTGGGTTTGAGCGGTTACAAATGGTGTCAGAGCTAGATATCGGGTTACGTGCTAGCGAAGAGGCTGGGCCCGAAAGGGGGTGGATTGTGAAGTCCCATATCGGTTGGGGAGGGGAACGAAACATTCTTTATAATGGTGTGGAAACCTCTCCCTAGTAAATGCGTTTAAGAACCTTGAGTGAAAGTCTAGAAGGAAAAATCCAAGGAGTACAATATCTGCTAGCGGTGGGCTTGTTCTATTACAAATGGTATCAGAGTAGACATTGGACAATGTGCCAGCGAGGAAGCTGGGCCCCGAAGGGGGTGGATTGGGGGGTCCCACATTGATTGGAGAGGGGAACGAGTGCCAGCGAGGACGATGGGCCCTGAAAGGGTTCAATTGTGAGATTCCACATCGGTTAGAAAGGACATTCTTTATAAGGGTGTGGAAACCTCTCCCTAGTAGACACGTCTTAGAACCTTGAGAAAAAAACAAGAAAGAAAAAATTCAGAGAGAATAATATCTGCTAACGGTATACTTAGGATGTTACAAAATGAGAGTGTACTAACAAAACTAATGTCTATCATTACTTTGAATGACCCTCTTCTTGCTATCTTTTCTTACATTAAAAGCTTTCTAAGATCTGGTAAGAGAGATAGTATTGCCCTTTTCGTGTCTAAAAATGTCACAGTCAAGAGTAGGGAACATTATCTTTAATGTAAATGCTTTCATTTTATGCTTGGGAACAAGAATTCAGTTGTGGCTAAGCAAAGAAAGGGGAGAAAAGGTATCAAATAATCGAAGTTACGCGTTGAACATTCTAAAACCATTATTGATTTGGCCACTTGGTTGGTAGAAAAAGACACCCACACTGTGACTAATAGGCCTTCATTAGGATCCAATTTGATTGATTTGGTTCATTATGAACGGTGAACCCATCTAAATATCTAAATAAAAGTGATCCCGATGGTAGGATGACTAAAAAAAACTTAAAAGAATTGAAAGTAAGTACTAACAATGTGCACATTTCTTTATGGTAGCTCAAGTATAGGAACTCCAAAGTTAGACATGCTTTACTTGGAACAATCTACATGTAAGTGAGGACAAAACATGCTAGAAAAACTCGTGTTGGTATGTGTTGATAGTCTTCACTGTTATAAGTGAGGTGTAACAACATGACCATGTCACATGGGATGCAGGAGAATGTCGGAGCACATAAGTGTCGAATCCTAGACATGGATCGTTCGTTACATTATCATTCTATCTTCTTTGTGCAATCTATGAGTCTTATAACGTTGAACTAAGTATACAAAATCTTCTATATTCCGCTATTGTTTGCTTGCTTTTCAAGCCTTTATTATCATAATATGGGAGTTTAGATTGTGACATCCACCAAATCTCTTTGATCTTATTTCTAGAATTTATAGGTTTCATTAGTTCATTCCTTTTTTTCAATGGAATTTTAGTTGTTGACAAAAAAAAAGCCTTCAATTTAGAGGTTGTGAATCTTGAATAGGGCTTAGATTAGGGTTTGGCCAATAAGAACACAAACCCAACCCACATGAGTTCATAGCTTTGTTGACCAAATTTGTCAATTTTTGTGTGCAATAAACTTAAATTCTTGTGAGTAATTATGAGCCAACAAATATGAAGTAATTTACAAGTTCACTCTTTTTGCTCTAACCCCAC